GAGAGGGCTGATGTTCCTTTATCTTTTTGAAATTGCTGTCATTGGATGTGGCTTTTTGTTTTTATATCTTTATTTCCATTGAAGGTTTGACTGTGGCGTATGTTGAGCATGGTCGATAGGTTTAGTTTCTGGGTGCTTTCAGAGGGCCAAGTCTTCATACAGGATCTTTATTTGTGGCTAGATACCTGCATTGGCTTTCACCGGTGATGTGCGCTGAAAGCATTTTCGTTTGGTGGTGGAATTAAAGCCATGATCCAGTAGATGGTGCTAAAGTGTAAGGGTCAGCAGATAGGCTCTCAGCCACCTGCCTCCTTTGTATTTTAGCATGTTTGCAGCAGTACTGTTGTGCGGGGCAGACTGAGGAGGGGACAGTGAGAGATGACCCCCTCACTAAGTGCATTCCCAGGCTTTAGGGAAGCCCCTCCAATCACTGGCACTGCCCCCATGTTTCCTCAGCCCCAAGGGGGGCTCTGGCAGGCTGTGCTCCTGCCTCCCTTAGGGGCAGCCTGAGCTGAAGGGGTTAGGTCTCCAGGAGACCTGCAGCTCCCCAAGGGGCCACTGATCCTCTGTGCTTGGCAGAGTCCGAGCAGACTGTGGGTTATGTCTGCAGGTGTCTGTGGATGCACTGGGTCAAGGGTGGAGGATCCCTGGGGAGGGTGGTGTTGCTGTGAGTGTACAGCTGGTGTGGCACCTGTGGCCCAGAGTTTTTGCCCAGCAGATGGTTGTGGGAACCACCCAGCTTGTGTTACGCAGATTGGGTCTCCTAGTATCTGCCCTGGTAGCTGGCCTAGCCAGCTAGTTTTGTCCCAGGCCTTCTGCACTAGATCTTTGGGTTGTTAGGTGCTCTGGGCTTTGGGACACCCTTGGCAGAGGCTGCAGCTGGCAAATAAGCTACATCCTTTTTAGACCAGTGTTGCAGGGGGAGGCAGGCCTAGCTCCCACACTGGCCCATGAACCTGTGCCTCACTCTTCTCAGTGTTCTGAGAGTGGAGACTCCTCTCTTGCTTGAGCTCCAGTCACAGATCTCAGCTCAATTTGACTCCTGAGCTATATTCTCACACCCTGGGGGTTTGGGACTGGGCCTGCAGCTGTGTCCTGTTGAGGTTGAGCATTGGCTGTGCTGGGGGAGCCAAAGTGTTCCCAGGCAAGGCAGTGGAGGCTGTGTTTTGTGCATGCTCTTGCAGGAGCAGCTAGGCAAAGGCTTTGGGAGGGGCCAGTAGATGCTGAGCAGGGGGCAGGGGCAGTAGGGGGAGATCAGATGCACCCTGGTCCCACAGGAAAGACAGCCCTGCTCTCTCCTGGGCCCGGCAGTGAGCAGGGGCTGGAGCCACTCAGAGCAGGATGGAGTGCCTTGGAGGATGGGCACCTGTGATTGTGTTTTGCTGCAGCTGCCCTACACACAAAACCTTCTGGGCTCCACGCAGGCATGAGCTCTCCCTCTGGCTACTCTCTGGCAGTTCCCCAGGCATGACCCCACTGTGGGCCCATGGCATCTCTTGTGGCTGTAGGATCCCGGAAGCCCATGGCAGGAGTGTGTTGCCCATAGTTCCTTCACTCACCCTCCCTTAGGACCTGTTCAGGGCCAGGGGCTGGGCAACTCTATGCAGGGTTCTCAGCTTCCTCCTCCTTTCTGGAATGAGTAGTTGTTATAGTTTTATTTTTATCTCTTTTGTTGGCTTATTACCTGTAACTGTCTTTTTTATTGTTTGTAGTGGTTGCCCTAGGTTTGTTTATACTTCTTCATCACTAACTTTCTGTAATATTACACTACTTCATGTGATAGTATAAGGACTTTACAATAGGATAGTTCCATTTCTACTCTATTGGCCTTTGTGCTATTAATATAATACATGTTGCTTCTACAGATGTCATAAACCCCACAATGTATTATTACTATGCTTTAGAAAGTCTTCCAAAGAGAATTTTAAAATAAGAAAACATTTATCATTTATATTTACCCACATACTTACTATTTCTAGTGCTCTTTTTTTTTTTTTTTTTTTTTTTTTGAAATGGAGTCTCACTGTGTCACCAGGTTGGAGTGAAGTAGCATGATCTCGGCTCACTGCAACCTCCGCCTCCCAGGTTCAAGGGTTTCTCCTGCCTCAGCCTCCAGAGTAGCTGAGACTACAGGTGCACACCACCACACCCAGCTAAATTTTGTATTTTTTTTAGTAGAGACAGGGTTTCACCATGTTGGCCAGGATGGTCTCGATCTCTTGACCTCGTTATCCGCCTGCCTCAGCCTCCCAAAGTGCTGGGATTACAGGCGTGAGCCACTGTACCTGGCTCTAGTGTTCTTTATTGCTTTGTGAAGATGCATATATCCATATGGCATCCTTTTCCTTCTGCCTGAAGGACTTCTTGTAACATTTCTTATAGGGCACATGTGCTGGTGATTAATTCATTCAGATTTTTCCTTTCTGAAAAAAAGTGATTATCCCTATCTTTCATTTCTAAAATTATTTTTTGTTGAGGACATAATTCTAGGTTGACAGTTTGTTTTGTTTTGTATTTTAATACTATAAAGATGGTACTTTTGTTTTTTCCTAGTTTGTTTCTTAGGAGAAATTTGTTATTCTTTTTTTTTTTTTTTTTTTTGAGATGGAGTCTTGCTCTGTCGCTCAGGCTGGAGTGCAGTGGCGCGATCTTGCCTCACTGCAACCTCCGCCTACTGGGTTCAAGCAATTCTCCTGCCTCAGCCTCTTGAGTAGCTGGGATTAAAGGCGCGCACCACCATGCCTGGCTAATTTTTGTATTTTTAGTAGAGATGGGGTTTCACCATGTTTGTCAGGCTGGTCTCAAACTCCTGACCTCGTGATCCGCCCACCTTGGTCTCCCAAAGTGCTGGGATTACAGGGGTGAGCCACCATGCCCAGCCTCTTCTGTTATTCTTATTGCTCCTTTATATGTAATATTACTTCTCTGGCTATTTTATCACTACTAGTGCAAATTTGATTATGATATGCTTTGGTTTCATTTTCTTCTTGTTTCTTGTTCTTCTGTTGCACTGAATTCTTTGGATCTGTGAGTTTATAGTTTTCATCCAATTTTTTAAAATTATGGCCATTATTGCATCAAATAATTTTTCTCTTCCACTCTCCTCTTCTTCAGGGACTACAGGTATTTGTATTTAGGCTGCTTGAAGTTTTCCCACTTCAAGGTCACTTATCTGTTCTTTATTTTTCAGTCTTTTGTTTTTATTTTACTTTGCGTAGTTTTTATTGCTGTATGTTCAAGTTTATGGCTTCTGCATATATGTATGACACTCACCTGCATGAAAACCAGCAAACTTTAGACATGACAGCCTGTGGGAGAGCAGCCCAGATCCTCCCAGGCCATGGCCACTGTTCAAACATCCTCCAAAGCTGGGCAATGCTCGGGGTGTCTCAGAGGAGCCAACCTCAGGGCGTAGTTCACATCTGTGTCAGGTTGGTGAAGGATATTTCCAAAGGAGGTGACACCCATCTAGCTTCTTGCTTTGTACACACCCCTGTGATGATCTTTCGTTTCAGTTTGAACATCACCAGTGACAATGATTTTATCAGTGGACAGCTGTAGAAGTTGGGGAAATTCCTCCTGGCCCTGAGCAGTAACCTGCTGTTTCCGTCGGCGGATCCTGGTTCTGCGGTCAGGGCACAGTGTCTGCTTCCTTTTCCACAGGCCAGCCTTTCGGCGATTTGAAGGTGTTATCTTGCCCAAGTCTTTTCTGTCCAAACATTCATTTCCACACCTCCTGCCAGCTGGCTCATCTCTGCCAGAGTGTCCTGTCTGGAAAGGTCCCTTTAGATGTCACTTCCAAGTGTGTGGGCCTGATTGGGCTCTCAGTAAGTACATTCATTTCTAGTTAGTGACATGAATATGAATATTTTACTTAGTCTTTTAATGCTTTCCAAAGGCTATAGTTGAAAGTTGAAAACTAGTAAAATTATCCTGTCAGAAGACAAATGCCCCTTCCTAAACATGAAGGACACACTGCTCCGATTTTCTGCTCCTGATTAAAGACAGCAGGAAGAATTTGACATGTGTCTGCTCATGATGAATTTTAAAGGAATAAAATAACATAATCAAGACTTAGGTGAAAGTCAGAGATAAAACCCAAAGAGAGGACATAAAACCTGTCTTCTGCATTTTTCAGAAATAATTTTGAAGCTGGGAATAAATGGGGCTCATTTTATGTGAGGAAGACTCACAAAGTCCCAAGTCTCTAAGGTACCTCTGCAGGCCAGAAGGTCTAGTGGGGCCGTTCTCCACCAGAATTCAGACTGAGTCCTAGAACCATTCATTCCTACTGGTTCATGTAATAATGGACTCACGTAACTACAGATGCATATTGATTCGTAGAATCATAAATTTATACTGATGTCTTCAATTCCAATTCAACACCACAGGTATAGTTTAACCTTCTTCCTTTCTTATTTATAGCTCCTTCTCCAACAGAGAGAACCTGACCCTCATTATCCATATTGTATTTACTTCTTTGCACAATCTTAGAATACACATAAAGTAGTTTAGGGTAGCATCCCTCCCACTCCTTGTTTAATTATTTTTGAGCACGTGAAAAATTAGCATGTTTCTGAATATAAGAACAGGTAAAGGGTACACTCAAAAAGGTATCCCTCTTCCTGTTCCTCCTTTTCTACTCCCATTCCCCCATCCTATCTACCTTGCCTCTTCCTGTCTCTCTAATCTCACTGGTTTTTCATTTAGATTTCTTGTTTCCTTTTTGAGCAAAAGAATAGATAACATGTATATTTTTCTGTTCCCTGTTCTTTCTTATGTGACAACTAAATACCTCATGAAAAAGTTATCTAATTTAAGTTTAACCCTAAACCTAGACAAATGGCACAATCTTAATTATTTAGCAACTTCAAGTGTGCATACACTTAAAGGAATAAAGAATTGCCTCTAAAACTAAACAAAATTATTGAATCAACTTTCTAATTTTTTCTCTCCATAAACATTCTGGTCCTGATTTATGAGGACCCAAAGGCACTTACCTTTCAGCCTAAGTAGAAGCCTGGGATGGCAGTAAGCATCCTTATGGCCATCTGGTCTGTCAGTGCACTCATCTATATTTTTACACTAAGAACATCTGCAAGCTTAAAACCTTCTTCTGATTAGTAAATGTAAGGGTTTTGGGCTACGTGGATCTCTGATGCCACTCAGCTCCAAGATTCTGTTCCCACGGTGCTGTGGTTCTAATATTCCAAACCACAGGAGAATCATTTTCCAGAGACATTTACAGGCAGCCTCACTGTCCTGTCTTGAACATCCTCCACCAAAGTGTGAACATAGGTGGCATGGGCTTCGTCGTGAACAAGAGCACCTTCAAAGGAGGAGATCCCCTGTACATGCGGAGGGCCCTCATGAACAACCTTGGAGAGGAAAGGAGAGCCAGGATTCAGATCCAAAGCCTCCAGAAGGCTTTAGATATCCGGATCAGGGAGATTGATAGAGAAAAAGCAGCCCTGAAGAAATTTTTGGTAAAGCTTCACAAGACAACTGGCTATTTTCCTCAAAAACCATTCTGGTGACTGGTGCTGTGCCACCATAGGGAAGGAGTTCATCTGAAACGTCCAGTACATCCAGAACACACCTGGGTCTCCTGTATCTCTCTGTGACCCAAGAAAGCAGTAGAAGCAGCTACTGGGACAAGCCAAAACAGAAAAAAAGACTAGAGAATTGAGGACACAAATGGACCGTCTCTGAAATAATCAACAAAACCTCCTACAAAAGAGAGAATAATGCATTTTTTTCCCAGAATAATTATTTTTTTCCCAGCTGATTCTATTCCTTTACAACTTGAGGTGTTAATATGCGGTGCACGCGTTATTTTCTTACAGATTCTCCTTGAGGCAAGAATAAAGCTAAGCAAGAATAAAGCTTAGCTATTTTAGAGATCTTTCAGATACTGATCATGAAATACATATTATATTTGCCTTAATCCTGTTCTCTTCTCATTGATATCATTTTCAATTATTTTCTACAATTTTAATAGCATGAATAAATAATAAATGTTTAAGGTGAAAATAATAGTGGGAAATACACGGAATTTTGTATCTACAAGAAAACTCAATTTAAATGTAAGTTTTCCCATGTATTAGTTGTACGTTCCTAGACTTAAAAACTCTTTTTTTAAATTCAAGATGAGGATAATAATACCTACATTAAAATATTGTTTTTAAGGATTAAATAAGATAACATATATATAGGGCATATTGCAGCCACCCCTAAAATGGTACTAGCTCTTATTGTGATGACTGTTGTTTCCATTAATATTTTTATTACTGTGTATTGGGCTCAAGTTCTGTTCCCAGCTCTTTCCAGGATCGCTAGGCAAATCCGTTTCCATTCGTGGGCATTCATTTTTTTCTGAGGCTATAATATGAGAGTCAGACTAGATAATGTCCACAGGCCCTTTCAATTTTAAGTTATTTGATACTATAACTCCATGATTGTACTTTGAAATGTGTTTGCAGCATCCTAGAGAAAAAAAAATCTAACAATCAGAATGCACACACCAAGGTGACTAGAGGCCTGTATATTCCTACTTAGCCATGACATATCTACCACCCTGATGTTTAAAGATACTGGTAATTCAAGTACAAAATATTCTTAGTGGCCTCTTTTTTTTTTTTTTTTTTTTTTTTTTTTTTGAGACAGAGTGTTGCTTTGTAGCCCAGGCTGGAGTGCAGTAGCACAATCTCAGCTCACTGCACCTCTGCCTCCTGGGTTCGAGTGATTCTCCTGCCTCAGCCTCCCGAGTAACTGGGATTACAGGCACGTGCCACCACGGCTGGCTAATTTTTTGTATTTTCAGTAGAGACGGGGTTTCACTGCATTAGCCAGGGTGGTCTCAATCTCCTGATCTCGTGATCTGCCCACCTCAGCCTCCCAAAGTGCTGGGATTACAGGCGTGAGCCACTATGCCTGGCCCAGCCTCTCCTTTACACACACACACACAAACACACACACATCATGAATAGATACATATATACATGTGTATACACACACATATGTATTATACGTATGTGGGCAGCAGGATCAAGGGGGATGTGGTTAGGCTGTGGATTTTCTATGAGGGAGAAGGGGAAGGTAAAAGTGTCGAGGGGTTTCTTGGCTGTGTGCAGCCCTATCAGTGCTTCTGTGTCCCTGAAAACTGTAATTATGTTGTGGCCAGTGTGGTCATGGGCAGAGGTCGCAGCCTGTCTGTTGATGCAAATTTAAATGTGATCCCTCATTTGTTGTGAATTTAAATATTGTGTAGTTATGCCCTAGGGGGTACAGAGTTCATGCAATGTAATTAGGACTTGGGACAGCATCTTGGGTTTTTTTGTGTGTTTTTGCTTTTTGAGACAAGATTGCGCTCTGTCACCCAGGCTGGAGTGCAGTGGTGCAATCTCAGGTCACTGCAACCTCTGCGTCTTAGGCTGAAGCCATCCTCCCATCTAAGCCTCCTGAGTAACTAGGACTCATGCCACCATGCCTAATTTTTGTATATTTAGTAGAGATGAGGTTTCACCATGTTGCCCAAGCTGGTCTCAAACTCATGAGCTCAAGCAATCCACCCACCTTGGCCTCCCAAAGCGCTGGTATTACAGGCGTGAGCCACCATCTCTGGCTAGAGGCAGCATTTTGATGACTCAGGTCACCATTGTCATCTACATTGTTTCAGTAGCCCCTGTTTTAAAAGCTCACTTTATCTTTCTGTGATACCCACTACTGTTATTTTGTTATGTTACTTTGTAATACCCATTGTTGCATTTGCTTTGTAGTACAAGGAGAGTCTTGATCTGACTGCGTAACTTGTGGCACACCCAAAGGTTGTAAAAGCTGTTTTGTTAACCATTGTAACATTAGCAGAGGTTCCTGCCTCACATGGGTAAGCAAATGGATGGCCTGTGTAGATAACCATTAGCATATTCATTGGCTCCTGTCACTGTAGGGGGAGGCCGTTTGAAGTTGATTTGCCAGTTCTGATAATGGCTTTCCTGTGAATTTCTCCTCCCAGGCAGTGGGCCCAGTATCTAAATTTCTAGCAAGGTACAGTCCCTAATAATCTTGCATAAATGTCTCTCTGCTGCGTTGACTCCTCTGTTAATAATTCCTTTTGACCAGGCGCGGTGGCTCACGCCTGTAATCCCGGCACTTTGGGAGGCAGAGGCAGGTGGATCACTTGAGGTCAGCAGTTTGAGACCAGCCTGGCCAACATGGTGAAACCCCGTCTCTACTAAAACTACTAAAATGAGCCAGGAGTGGTGGCTGTGCCTGTAGTCCCAGCTACTTGGCAGGCTGAGGCACAAGAATTGCTTGAACCCAGGAGGCAGATGTTACAGTGAGCCCATATCGCACCACTGCAGTTCAGCCTGGCGACACTACAAGACTCCATCTCAAAGACAAATAAAAAATAATAATTCCTTTTTGGAACCCCATGATGCCCAAATGCCCTGACCTCTCCTCTTGCATGCCCACTGGAAGAGGGGAAGGGTAGCTCATCCCAAAACTCTAGGACTCTGCCTCCTTCAAGAGGCTTACCTGCCGGTATGCTATGGTTAGTTCATCAACTTTGGTGTTGTGTCATGCCTCTTCCATGTCTTGTCTGGTATGAGCCAAGGTACGGTGCACCAAGGTAGGCAGAATGGGAGCCAGTGTAAGTGTTAGTGCAGCATCTTGGCTCCTGAGTAAATATGAATTAACACCAGGCCAAACAGTAATTTTTCTCAGGCAAGGTTTAATGGTCTTAAGCTCAATCAAAGCAAGGGAGCAGTGCCCAGGAAAAGGACTCCAGTGCTACAGCCAAAAAGGCTCAGCTCTTGTCATTTTAAGGAAGGTGAGGCAGAGAAAGGAATGACGTAGAAGCTGTAGGAGTTAAAAAAAAAAAAAAAGAGGAAAGAAACACAAAAAGTGGCTCAGCAGTCAAAGGCAGGTTTATTTTGGAGAATGAACATGAGAGGGACTTCTGGCTGATTTCAGTCAGGAGCACTCTCTCTTACAGACTAAGAGGATTTCAGTGTTTGGGGGCAAGAGAGCTTATCACAGGCTTGGAATGTTTCTGTGTGGAGTTGTTTATTGTGGGTTTGGAATGTCTCCGGTCGTGGGGGAGGTTATCTCGGGGCTGGCATGTCTCTGGTTGGGGAGGGGTTTATCTTAGGGGTTGGAATGTTTCTGGTTGGAGATGTCATTTGTGGTTTATGGTCATGCTGACCTTAGCTGATGCCCTTTGGATTTAGGCGGTTTCTGAACAAGGGGAATTTTAAAATGGTGGTGCTTGTCCAAGATGGTGATGCTCCTGCTCTGTCAGAAGCCTGTTTAGGCAAAGTTTTCTTTGTGCCTGTACAGTGGGGCATCATGCCCTAACATACACTGCATAATTAGAAAATGGCAGATAAGCCCCAATGTGGGCAGAGATTTTCATATTACATTGAGAGTATGAGGAAAACTCAGTGAAAGGTCAGTGCTGGAGTCCATCTTGTCTTCAGCCAACTGGATCTGGTTCAGTTCTCATAGAGAATGCCAGAGGTTTGTTTTAGTAACCTTGGAATATGGTCAGGTTCTTATCAGGAATGCTACAGTCCGGCTTTTAGCAACCTTGGGAGACATCACTTAAGGTGACAGTCAGTTTCTTCTATTTATGGTTAAGAATTCAGCCTGACCAGCTAAGTTAGGAGAGGCTTCCCTTCTGCTGTGTGACTTGGGTCAGCTTGTTAAGGAGGCAAGAAGGTAGGGGAGGTAATATGCCCGGACATGGGAGCCCCATGAGCCTCAGTCTACAAAGACCAAGTCTTTTTCCTGTACTGTCTCATAATGATTATTTTCCCTACATCTTTTTACCCTGAATATCTGGGCCTTGTATTTTCCAGCTCTGATATTGCCCAAGTCCCAACCAAGTAGTTAGCTCATTAGCCATGAACCAGGAGTTTGTGAAGATATAAACCTTGGGAAAATGGCATATCTATTGCTAGGAGTAGTGCACATATGGAATGAGTGTCTGAATGGGGTTAAAGGGTGTAGCTGTCCTTGGTCTGAGTTCCGTATGCCCTGTGCTGACTCATCAGTAATGAGAGGCTATTGGTTTTCTTGTTTTGAGATTGCTGACCATCCTCCCTCCACTCCCCACTGAGCAGGAGGCAGAGGCATTTTCAGTGTTTTGGCAAG